TCCACACACTCACCGGACCTGGGCTAGGACTGGGTCTGGGGGTTCGATATACAGGAATTTAAAATCTCAATCAGAAGCTTGCAAAACCATTTATGTGAAAGTGAAGATAGAGTTTCAGATCTTCAAGATGCTGGTGCAACTAGTGAAAACGTCAGAAAGGATCTCTTAAAAACAAATAGCATGCAGGAAAGAATAATCCATCACCTGCAAGATGATGCAAAGATGAACAATGTGAGACTAATAGGCATCAATAAGAAAGAAAGAATTAAAAAAAGACATTAGAAATATGGGCAGAAGTAATAGCAGAAAACTTCCCAAATATGAGAAAACAATCTGAAATTCAGGTAACCAAAGAATACAGAATGAAAGGAAACTTCACCCCATTAAAAACGCACAGAGGAGAAATTACAGACCCAGTCCTAGCCCATGCAAGATCCAGTCTTAACCCAGGCCTGGTGAGTGTGTGGGAGAGCTACTGGGTACCCTGCACCATTGGGACCTGTGGTCACAGCCCAGGTGCAGCGTGGGTGAGACCTTCTTCCACCCCTTTGGGATGCCTGCCACAACTCTGCAGCACCTACCCCACCCCACCCGCTGAGTAGGAATTTCTGCCTTGTTCCACAAACCCTCAGACCCAGTCCTAACCCGGGCCCAGTAAGTGTGTGGGAGAGCTGCCTCTCTCCCCTACTCCAACTTGTCCCCTCAAGACTCAGCTCAGGCCTGGCATAGAGGCCTGGGGTGAAACCCTGCAGCTGCAATCCCTGCAGAGAGTTTAGAGGACAGAACAACTGAGCTAGTACAGAAGTAGAATATCTTGCCAGAGGGGAACAACAGGTTTAACCCCAAGGGCAGCAGCAGGAAGGAGCTGAGCACAACACCCAGATCAAAGCCAGGCACTGTTGGATAAATCAGAACGTTGTATATCTGCACCTGAACTTGAATATGTGGTAAGGTTATAACTGCACTAAAGATCTACAATAAAAGTCAGAAGGCAGTGCCACACAAAATGATGAGAAGGAACAAAATGCAATCTCAGAATGCAAGGCCACCCATAACAAGTGCAGAGGACACTAACATAGAACAAATTGGGAATCACACAGTTGAAATCAATGAATCAATGGCTTCTGAAATAAACAAACAGCTGGCAAAAGGTGTAGAGGAACTCAGATTGGAAATGAAAAAAGAAATCCCTGAATTAATAACATCTGCAGTAAGAATCAAATGCAGAAACATATGGAGGAAACCCAATGCCCACCCAGAACAAGCGCAGAGGACACTAGCTCGGCTCAAATGTATGAATTAATAGCGTCGATAGTAAATAAGCAACAGCAGAAAGCCATAGAGGAACTC